GACTCATTACTGAAGGAACAATGGTTTGCAGCAAATTTCCAGAGTACTTTCAGGATTAATTTAAAAGAAACTAAATATTAATAATACCATGTATTTAGCGAAATAAAAATAAATAAATAAAATCTTTCACTAGGAAAAATTACAGATATCTTCACATGAACTCATCAAGGAGCCCTTTTAAGATACACACTTCTAAGGAAAGAAGCTATTCTAGAAACAGAAACTTTGTTTTATACGTTGTCACAAAATATCACTATCAACACTAAGTCCCAGCAGCAAGGTTTTCCTACCAGGGAGCATGAGGAAGTTGACAGCAAGGATTCTCATGACACTTTGAGCTGAGCTTCGGCAAAACAAAGATCAAAGGCAACCTTGATGAGGAAATTAATTAATTAATGTCCAATGTTTGATGGATATTGAAGAGAATGGAAAAAGGCATTCCTTTCTTAAGCTTCTGTCTAGGTATGAAGGGTTTATGGTAGCTGGCTTGTGCAAGAGTCAGTTTTTTTTTTAATTAATTTTTATCTGAGTATAATTGATTTACAATGTTGTTTCAGGTGTACCCCAAAGTGATTCAGTTATATATATATATGTGTATCCCGTTTTTTAGATTCTTTCCCCATATGGGCCATTGCAGAGCACTGAGAAGAGTTCCCTGTGCTATTGAGTAGGTTATTAGTTACCTATCTTATATATAGTAATGTGTTTATGTCAATCCCAATCTCCCAATTTATTCTTCCCCTTTTCCCCTTTGGTAACCATAAATTTGTTTCCTACATCTGTCTCTGTTTTGCAAATAGGTCCATCTGTACCACTTGTTTTTAAGATTATACATACAAGTGATAGCATATATTTATCTTTCTCTGAATTACTTCATTCAGTATGATAATCTCCAGGTCCAACCATGTTGCTGCACATGGCATTATTTCACTCTTTCAATGGCTGAGTAATATCCCATTGCATATATATACCATATCTTCTTTATCCATTCCTCTGTTGATGGACATTTATGTTGCTTCCACGTCCTGGCTATTGTAAACAGTGCTGCTATGAACATTGGAGTGCATTATCGTCCTTTCAAACCATGTTCTTCTCTGGATATGTGCCCAGCAGTGGGATTGTAGGATCATATGGTAGCTCTATTTTTAAGTTTTTTATGGAATCTCCATCCTGGCTGTACCAAGTGACATTGCCCAAAGCAGTGTAGGCGGGCTTCTTTTCTCCACACACTTTCCAGTATTTTCTTGTGGATTTTTTGATGATGGCCATTCTGACTGGTGTGAGGTGATACCTCACTGTGGTTTTGATTTACATTTCTCTAATAATTAGTGACAGTGAGCATTTTTTCATATGCTTTTTGGCCATCTGTATGTCTTCTTTGGAGAAATGCCTCTTTAGACCTTCCACCCATTTTTTATTGTTTTATATGTGTGTGTGTGTGTATATTGAGCTGCATGAGCCATATATACGTTTTAGAAACTAATCCCTGTTGGTCCCTTTGCTCGCATTTTTTAAGGTAGAGGTATGACCCTCTCCTCAAGCTGAATCCTCTACCACTCATGCCCAAACAGAGCACTTTGGCCAAAACTTGGCAATTCGAAGTGCATAAAAGATAATGTTGTGGAAGAGCACTGAGTCTTGAGATCCTCTTGCCATTGGCTTTGTAACGCTGAACAGCACCAACCTCATCCCCTCAACTGTAATTAGGGATATATGACCAGTGATTTAAGGGATAGAAAAAGGATAGATGGAAACTTAAACAAGCACTGTGTGAAATGTAAAATCCCATAAAATTATAAAAGACTACAGCGATTTAGACAATTCAGAGGGAAAATCTAGTGTGAATCTTTTATTCTGACAAAACAAACTTCATAGATTTTACTTTCTGAACTCCCAAAGTTTCACTTATTTGAAAAATAAGAGACAAGGCCTATTGGATGCCAAGTCTTCAGACATGAATAAAATAGCGCCACATGTTCAAGTTGTATAAGCTAGCTGCACTTTATATACCATAACAGTGAAGGGACAGACTCACTAGTCTCCACTGCACCTGGAAGAAACACATGGACACACCTGGATTTTCTAACCAGTTTCATATCAACAACCTCTGAGTAAACGACATACATATTTCCATTAATGGCAGGCATAACTCCACAAATACCAAACTACATAAATCACTTGCTTTTCATAATCTCAATTTGGAAATTAAAAAAAAAACCAGGAACAGAGTTAAGTAGCTGAAAATGCTGTACTTACTGCACAAAAGTACCTCATGACAAGGAATCCTGGAAATTGTTCCCCCAGGAATGATTTTTGAAACTTTAAAGTACATTTTGTCAGAAAAGTTAAAATCTTTAAAGTGAAAAGCAAGTTAAGCATTGATTCAGTTTCTAAAGATCTAGCAAATTATAGATTTTGTGCACTTAGGTACTAACAACAACCCACTCCAGTATTCTTGTCTGGAAAATTCCATGGACAGAGGAGCCTGGCAGGCAACAGTCCATGGGGTTGCAAGAGTCAGACATGCCTGAGTGACTAAATCAACCATACACATTTAAGAGATTAACACTGTTCAGGAGAACATAGAGGTTGTTCTGCAGTGTTTTTATGGCTCACTTCAGCTTCTGTAAGCCTAAGACTTGGTGACAAATTACAACTTATCCTGTACTAGATAGGAACCTATTTTTAATTTATACAAAATTAGATTGTTTTTCACCTACATGTATGGATAAAAGTGCTTCTCAAATGTACATAGCCCATTCCCGTAATCCTAAAACAAAACTAAAGGCACATGAATGGACAATAGTTTATATGGATACTTTTCATTAGCCTTTAAACAAATTCAACTGCTATCTAGAGAGGTGTGACCAATTTGTTACAAATTTCTACAATTTGGGAAATTAAAGATTTAAGAATTCTCTAAACACTGCAGTTCTGTGCAATTCATGTATTGGTTCATTCACTCTGCAAGCTGTGAACACACACTGTCATCTCCATAGGCTGCAAAATGCATGTTTCAGGAACTGTGACTCGAAAAAGACCAAGGGAGAAGGAGTTTTTGGAATTAGGTCTCTCACAAATTTCTTTGAATCCTATTACAAGTGAATTTAATGTCTGTGAATTAAATTTAACAATAATTATAAAGACATTCACCCTAACATATTTGAATGAAATGTAATTAAGTACACTTAAGTGTTTAATTGCAATGAATGATACTTTTTACCTATATATAAAAGGATTCAATAGCCAGCAGCATTTAAATATAGAAAATGTCCCATCTATTATCGTTCCCTTTTTTATAAAGTGCTATTTTTAACTGGGTAGATTTACTAGCCAGCTTCCCAATACCTTCACTCTGTGTCTCTAATAGATTCAAAGAAACGTGAAAACTAAAAGGATTTAGTATTTTAAACATTTGCAAAACACTGCTACAAAATATTGAGATTATGAATGTATTTCATTTGAAAATAAAAAGTGTACCTTATGTGAGAATCATTAAGTTGATTTGATAATTACTTCATAGAAGTATCAGCTAACATTTACGTTTACATTTTTGCTCATCACCTAAACCAGCAACAGTTTCTGTAGGCAATTCAACTCTAAGCACAAAGAGGGTCACATCAAGTAGAACCAACAGTTGTATAAGCCCCAGAACAAAAACTCCGAAAAATTCAGACTTTTACAAGAGCAAAACAAGTTTGTGAGAATAAGAACCAGAGGCAATATTTTCCTAGGAGTACCATAGGTTGTTACAAGTGTTTTCTTAAATAAAAACTTGTGTAGTTACTAAAGTGAAAGTCGCTCAGTCGTGTCAGGCTCTCTTTGAGACCCCATGGATTATATACTCCACAGAATTCTCCAGGCCAGAATACTGGAGTGGGGTAGCCTTTCCCTTCTCCAAGGGATCTTTCTAACCCAGGGATCAAACCCAGGTCTCTGGCATTGCAGGCGGATTCTTCAACAGCTGAGCCACAAGGGAAGACCAAGAATACTGGAGTGGGTAACCTATCCCTTTTCCAGCAGATATTCCCCACCCAGGAACTTAACTGGGGTCTCCTCATTGCAGGTGGAATATTTACCAACTGAGCTACCAGGGAAGCCCTGTAGTTATTAATAATGTACCTTAATACTGAGTGCAGGGGTGTTAGAGATAGTTAAGAGGAAACCACCCAACAGATTAACTCAAAAGTGAACGTTGCCTGTATTTTCAGTGAAGTGGTTAAAGCTGAAACAGCTTTTGAAGAGTTGAACACAACTTACAAGTAGGGTACCAACAGAATTTCCAATTGTATTCACATTATTCTCTAATTTGTATTTGTGCATGTAAACTGACCTGGCCATCAGCAGTATCTTAAAGCAAATGCAATTAGTAAAAACAGACGGCGGTATGTAGTTTTGTTTACACTTACAAATACTACCAGTTCATTACTACTTGCGTACATCTTGTTGCTCTTGGAAGAGTGCAAAGTGAAAGTGAGAGTCGCTCAGACGTGTCCGACTCTTGCGACCCCATGGACTATACGGTCCACGGAATTCTCCAGGCCAGGATACTGGAGTGGGTAGCCTTTCCCTTCTCCAGGGGGATCTTCCCAACCCAGGGATTGAACTCTGGTCTCCCCCATTGCAGTTGGATTCTTCACCAGCTGAGCCACAAGGGAAGCTCTTGGAAGAGTAACCACTTTAAAAAAGATACTGTAAAGTGCAATATTCCTTACTTTGCATGGCAATCGGCAATGTTTAAATCAAAGGAACTTGCAATCATCAACTCTGCACCAGATTTAGTTACATTGCTAGTCCTCCGAAACAGCGACTCCAGGGCAGAGAGGCTGCAGGGGGCAGGGGGCCGAAGTCAAGGTTGGAGGAATCACTGGGAAAGCCACTGCAGCCACATTGCTGGGGAGACCCCTCGGATTAAGAATACAGCCTTCAGCGTCTTTTCTGGTCTCACTTTCTTGTCTACACCTAGTATCCTATTCCTGACGACAAACAAGTCTCAGAACTTTCTAAAGAAATGATTTTTACCCAAATACATTGGACTTAGGTCTCAATTTGAAAGAGGACGAATGGCCTTTAAGAGACCGGTCCTCTTCCTCGTCCTCCCCCTCCTCCAGAGGCTGCTCTGGGTCTCTGAAAGAGGGTGTGGTGTGGATGATCTGGGTTCGGAAGCGGATTTTGTTGAGTCTGGGTTTCATCCGCCCACTAGAGCTGCCCGAGACTTTGCGACTCGGCTCCTTCGCTTTGCTCGCCGCCAACCCCTCGGCCAGGTGGTGGTGATGGTCCCCGCCGTCCTCCAGAGCGTGGGAGAGCCTGCTGGAGATGAGGTGCGAGGGCAGCACCCTCGAGAGCCTCCAGCGCCCTCCCCCGCTGCCCGCCGCGCTCTCGCCTTCGTCCTCGTCCAGGGCGCCCACCAGCGTCCGGATCTCCTCGGCGGTGCTCGGGCTCAGGTACTGCGAGGCCTTCCTGCCGCTGTAGTCACGCACGTCCACATCCGCGTCGTAGGCCCCGACCAGCAGCTTCACCACCTCCACGTGCCCGTGCATGGCCGCCAGATGCAGCGCGGTGTAGCCGCCGCTCGTGCGCGCGTTGATGTTCACCGGCAGCCGGTGCTGGCCCGCGAAGCGTACCAGCAGGGCCAGCAGCTCCTGCCGGCCGTGCTTGGCTGCCCAATGCAGGCAGGTAAAGCCGGTGATGAAGTCGCGCTTGGCCAGCAGCCCAGGCTCACAGGCCAGCAGCCCCTCCAGGCTGTCCCAGCGGCCGTCGGCGGCCGACAGCATCCACGCGTGCTCCAGCGGATCCAGCGTCAGCGAGCCCGCGCCCTCCTCCTCGGCCGCCGCGCCGTCCGCGCCCCCGGGACCGCGCCGCAGCTGAGGGGAGCCGCCTGCAGCGGGGTCCCGGGGCGCGGTGCGGCCCGGCCGCGGCGTAGGGGGCGCATCGCCCAGCGCTTCGGGCCGCGCACCTTCCCCCACCGGGCCACCGCGGGGTCGCCTTCCGAGCGGCGCGCTCGGGATGCCTTCCACAGGGTCGAAGGGGTCCGCGCGGTCTCCCGCCTCATCCTCTGGCTCCTTGGGGCGGCCGCGGACGCTGGCGCGCTGTTCGGGCGACCCGCCCAGGGCGCCCCCGACGGGCTGCTCCAGCTCGGCCTGCAGATCCTGAGCCCTGCCCTTGACCGGTCCCTCCATCTCGATAGCGAACCTGGTTGGCTCCGGACCTATGCGGCGGCCGCTCCGCAAGTTCCTAGCGCGCCTCAGCCGCGGGACTAACAGCCACCGCCCCCCTGCCTCGCCCGCGGACACGCCCCCGTCGGGGGCCCCACCCACTTCCGGCCTCCTAGGAGGCCGCCTTACTGCTCCCGCGGGCCCCGCCCCACTCCGCCCCACCTCTTTTCGGTCCTCGAACCGGCTGCATTCACTGCCTTCCGTTGGACACCCCTGGCCCCACCCACTTCCGGCCCCTCCACTGGCCGCACTGGTCGCTCCCGCCAGAGGACACGCCCTGACACGCCCACTTCCGGCTCTGTACTAGCCGCAATCAGTGCTTCAGCCCCGCCCAAAGGTCTGAGGAGCCATGGCCGCTCTTCCCCGCCTCTTTTTCTAACTTAAGCAACTGTGCTCCATCCTCTCCCAGGCACTGACTGGTCATCCTCTAAAATAGGGGTCCCCAACCTCTGGGATCTAGTGCCTGATGATCTGAAGTGGAACTGATATAATAATAATAGAAAAAGTGTGCAATAAATATGTGTGTATATTTGTGCGTATAAATCATCCCGAAACCATCTTTCCCCTCCCCGCATCTGTGAAAATATTATCTTCCATGAAAGGGTCCCTGGTGCCCAAAAGTTTCGGGACCGCTGTTCTAAAACATCTGGGCACTCCTGTGACAGACCCAATTCGAGGAGGTGTCTGGGAGCCCTGACTCGCAGGCCGCCTAGGAGCCCCAGCTCAATGGGGGCCGCTGGACGGCTCCTCTCATCTCCCCTCCCCTCCCTCCTGGACTCCAGCTCCCCCATGCCACTCCGCTCAGTCCCTCACATCACTGAGGCCACAGGACCCCTCCCCTCAGCGCCCCTCCCCTCCCGACCAGACCCGCCCCGCCCCCCGCGCCATCCAGCTCAGCCCCGCACGTCACTGAGGCCGGGGGACCCCTCCCCTCCGCTCCTCCGCTCCTCCCTCCTGTGCCCCCGCCCCGCCGCGCTCCATCCCGCCCTCCGCTGCTGGACGCGCGGCTCGGCAGGCCGCCGCCGCCTTGCTGGCCCCTCGCCCGCCCAGTCGCCCGGACCATGGCCTCCGAGGTGGCGCGGCACCTGGTGAGTCCGCCAGCCCTACGCCCTCGGCCAGGGACCCCCGCCCTCCCGGCTGGGCCCGCGATTCCCGCCCGCTCCCTCGGGCGGCGCCTCCCGGCTTCCCGTCTCCCCAGAGTGGGGTGTGAAGCGGGCGGTTTGTGTAACGGTCCCAAACGCGCGGGAGCGGGACTGGTGGCGGGCGCCCCACTGGACTCGGCCTCCCAGGCCTTCACAAACCTCCCACCTTACCCAGCGTTGACATCTTTGGGATTGGAGCCTTTTTTTTTCCCGCCTTGGAGCCCCTGTCCTTTAAAGGAACGGATGCGACTGATGTGTTCCGTTTTCTGTCTCTCCTCTACACTGGTCTCATTTCAGAGTAAGCCATGGGAGGGCCACAGAGGTGTTCTCGGCCACACCAAGCTGTTCCTTGCCCTTTTCACTCATTCTCTTGTGTCCCTGGAGTTTTTCCCGACAGCTACGCCGTGTGGAAGGACCACTTGTCTTTTGAAAAATTTAACTTCTGATACTATTCATACCAGCGATTGTAATCCACGTAAACAAAAGTTCTTCTGGGACCTGAGACCAAAAAGTGAGATGTGCTGATCTGACCAGTCTCTAGAAGTTTAGCTGGTAGGACTGATAGGGTAGGTGATGGGTCCAGAATCACACAGCCGGTTTCTCTGACAGAGTCTGGAGGAGAGTCTTTCTCCTGATTCAGCCCAGGTCTCTTTCTTCTCTGTCTTGTTTTTAGAGAAATCTCGGCTTTTCTCTCTGACCTGCCTTGTTACAGTTGTTGTGTCTGTGTGCACGTCTTTGTTTCAGAGTGAAGTTTAATCTTCAGAATTAAACATGGGATTTCTTGTCTGTTCCTCTGTTTATTTTGCAGTAATGTTACCTTTAATTAAACTTTTTATTTTGAGATAACTGTAAATTCGTGTGCAATTGTGAGAAAAAACAGAATTCCCCAGTAACTTTGCCCAATTTTCTTTAATAGTTGTTGTTCAGTCGCTAAGTCGTGTCCAGTTCTTTGTGACCCCATGGACTGCAGCGCGCCAGGCTGCCCTGTCCTTCACCATCTTCTGGAATTTGCTCAAATTCATGTCCATTGCATTTGATGCTATTTTATCATCTCAGCCTCTGCTGCCCCCTTCTTTTGCCTTCAGTCTTTCCCAGCATCAGGGTCTTTTCCAATGAGTCCGCACTCTTCTTTAATAGTAAAATGTTACAAAATCATAGTAAAGGCCACTACTAGCACATGGACACTGATTCTGTGGAAACAGAACTTGCCCCCACCACAGGAGCCTTCCCTTGTCCTTTTGTAGCCATACCCACTTCATTTCCACTCCACCTCCTCTTTAACCCCTAACTACTATAATCCGTTATTTCTGTAATTTTTCAAGTCTGTTATAGAATGGAATCACCTAGAATATAACCTTTTGGGATTGGGTGTTTTTCCTTCAGTAGCATTCTCTGGAGATTCATTCAGGTTGTTCCAAGTATTAGTTTGCTCCTTTTTAATTGCTGAGTAAATATTACATGGTATGGATGTAACACACTTTGAAGGACACCTACATTGTTTCCATTGTTGAGCTATTATAAGTAAACCTGCTATAAACCATTTCTGTATGTTAACATGTAACATAAGGAAAATATTGTCTTCAGTTCTCTGGAATTCACATGGCAGTTGCTAGTTTCATTAAGAAACTGCTAAACTGTTTCCCAGAGTTTCTGCATTTTCCATTCCCACCAGCAGTGTATGTGAGATTAGTTTCTCCACATCCTCACCAGCATTTGGAGTTCCCTTTTTGTTTTTTTTTTTTTCTTTTCAAGACATTCTGATAGGTATGTAATTATATATTGTAGTTTTAACTTGCATTTTTCTAATGGCTAGTGATGTTAAACATCTTTTCATGTGCTTGTTTGCCATCTATATTTTCTTCATTGAATTTCATTTTTTGTGCCCATTTTATTTTTGTGGATTTTTTTTTTTTTACTGCTGATTTTAGAAGTTTTCAAAATATGTATTCTAGATACCAGTCCTTGATATGTGGTTTGCAAATGTTTTCTCTTTTTCATTCTCTTAAAGAATATTTTGCAGAGCAAACATATTTAGTTTTGATAAAATCTATTTTATCACCTTTTCCTCTTATGGATTGTACTTTTTTGTCAAGTCTAAGAATCCTTTGCCTAACTCTGAATACCAAAGGTTTTCTCTTTATTTTTTTCCTAAGAGTCTTGTAGTTAGTTTTACATTTAAACCCATGACCCATTTTGTTAGTTTTTATATAAGGTATAAGACTTAGGTCAAGGGTCATTTTTGGCTAATGGATACTTCAACAATTCGTTGAAAAGGCTATCATATTCTACTGAATTCCTTTTGCACTTTTGTCAATAACTAGTTGAGCATGTTGTGCGGATCTTTTTCTGGGGTCTCTGTTAACATGCAGTCTTGATTCCTATAACTATATAAATAAATCTTGAAATAGAGTAGACTGATTACTCTCACTTTATTCTTAAATTTCAAAAATTTTTGGCTATTCTAGTTTCTATATCTTTCATTACAAATTTTAGAATAGTCTTGTCTATGTACAAAGAATTTTTCTGGGATTTTGATAGATATTACATTAAGTCAAAAATTAAAGAAAATTGATATCTCTACCTATGTTGAGTCTTCCAACTAATGAACATGGTGTTTCTGTCCATTTCTTTATATTTTCTCTGATTTCTTTCATCAGACTTATATAGTTTTCAGTACACAAGTCCTGCATTTGTTTTGTTAGATTTGCATTTCATTTTTTATCAGTTATAAATGATATCATATTTTTATTTTCATTGTCCTCATATCGTTTTAACACAGAAATACAATTGAGATGTGTATGTTTATCTTGAGTCCTTTGACCTTGCTGAATTAATTTATTCTAGGAGTAAATTCCTTGGAGTAAATTCTTGTGTGCATAAAAATTATATCATCTCAACATAGAGACAGTTCTCTTTCTTTCCAATTTGTATACCTTTTCTGCCATATTTGAATAAGTGTGGTAAGAGCAGACATTCTTGCCTTACTGTGATGTTGGCGGGAAAGAATTCAGTCCATCATCAGAGCAGCAGGATGCTGCCGTTCTTTTGTAGATACTCTTTAAAAGTTCAAGAGGGATATTTGTCTGCAGGTTTTTTTGTACTGTCTTTGGTTTTAAGTCAGAGTAATATTAGTTTCATAAAAGAAACTAGGAAGTGTTCCCATCTCTTCTGTTTTCTGGAAGAGAGTATGTAAAATTGGTATTAATTCTTTTTTAAATGTTTGGTAGGATTCTTCTGCGAAACCATCTGGACCTGGAGATGTCTTTTTGGGGAGCTTTAAACTTACAGATTTAAATTTCTTAATAGTTATCTGTGTGTTCATGTTAATTTCACACTGGGTGAGTTGTGATGGTATGTGGTTTTGCAATCCATTCCTTCCAAATTGTCAAATTTATGTGTATAGACTTGTTCATAATATTCTCTTAATCTCCTTTTGCTTTCTTCAGGGTCTATAGTGATAATCCCTGTTTCATTCCTGATACTGGTAAAATTTTCATCTTCTGCCTATCTTTGTCAGTCTTGCTAGAAGTCTGTTAATTTCACTGACCTTTTCAAAGAGCTATTTCTGTTTCACCTTTTTTTTCTGTTATTTTTCTATTTTCAAAAAACTGGTCTTTTTATTTCCTTTGCTTGCTTTTTCTTTTTCTTTTTCTCACTGACTTGAGACTTTTCTTCCTTTCTAATATATACATAAGGTGTTAATGAATTTCCCTTTCAGCAGGGCTTTAGCTGTGTCCCACAAATTTTGGTGTGTTTTATTTTCATTTTCATTCCACCTTTATTTTTTAAAAGAGTTCTGTTTTAAAACTCATTTGAAACTCT